ACATCTGCGATAATTATTCATATTTTAATCTGTGATTGAATATTAACGCGTTGTGCATGAATTACATAACTTATATAATGTAAAGATTTAATAATTACACATATAATTAACGTATAATTAATGCAAAGGTTAAAAAAAAATGTTTTTAATTGTTATGTAACTGTCAGAAATATTAATTCAGTGACGCATTGCAGACTATAGTGCTGTATATTACTATACTGTGCACAAAATAAATCACTAGTTTATTCATGGAGCATGATTTAGGTAACCAGTAGACACTTGACAACTTTCTCTTGAGATTGTTTAATTATTTTTATTGTAATTCATGACGTAAGATGATATTAATTCCTGATTGTTGGTGCTTGCGGTTGATTCGAGCATTGGACATTAAAATTGTTACATAATTGCTGAGTATGTGGCGATTCATTTCTAAAGGAAATTCAATTAGCTTTCGATCAAATTAATTTTCAAGAGAAACGTAAATTCTTAATATCAAAAATGCATTAGCTTTAGATATTAATGTGAAACTTTATTTTTACATAAAATTATTCTATATCTATTTTCCTATAAATTAATATATTTTATTGTTGTGTTATGAAAGCACGTGATTGTTTTAAAACAAATAGGTATATGAAAGATGAAAAATATGCCACAGGTTCTTGTATATATTTAGCAATGCAACCTAAAAATACAAAATCAAAATTTTGTCCACAGGTTAATTAGGCCCAATGTAGGTGCCGCAAGCTCACCTTGAAGTTATTAATATCCTGAACGGTCAAGTGACATTTGAAATCAATTTTATAACCGGACACACGTTATTAGAAAACTTACGCTTTTAGGGAAAACTTAACAGAATAAAATATTTCCATTACCAAAAACGATCTCAGCTCAGGATTATTTATTTATTTGCTGCTACATTTGTACACTCACCATGAAATCAGCCAGGTACTTAACTTTGATCTTGAGAGTACGCTATAAAAGATCTACGCACAAGTATGTGTGGATTAATACTTTCTACTTTAGCGAAACTTAATCAACAGCGATATGCGAATAACGTCATTTTTTAAGTAACAAAAGTTCCGAATTTACACGGCCGTGAAATTTACAAAATTTTCCCAAATGCAACAAATCATAATATCATAATCAAATAACATAATAGCATAATCAAATTTAATATAAATATAAATTTTAGAGGGAAATTTTAAATGCTGGTAATAATTTTAAACTGAAATCATTTAATCTAAATTGTCCTTCTGACTTACCGTATTCGCTAAAATTATGGTAATATTATTTCGCCGAATATAAAGTAAATAACGTACTTGGTCGAATTTATGAGCGTCGCTACACAGACATTCGCTCAAGTACTAATCGATAAGAAAATATCACTGTGCTTAAACTAGAAAATTAACAATGCGTAGAAACCAATTACAGTTT